GTCGAATTTTCTTGTTTCGATAAATGAAGATTCCATTCAATTCCTCTGGCACTGAGGTTTGACTCAAATAACGATTCTTCGTGTTGTCTCGTAGGAAGTACATCGAACACTCACTGTGATCACAGTTTTTTCATTTGCTGGATTGCATACAGCTCAGTTGCTCGTCGATTTTACGGTATGATTACCTAGCTACATGGCTTTCTTCGCTATTCTCTTATTTTAATTTCTGATTTGCTAGCTAGGTTAGTTATTTTTATGACAGGGAACCATTAAACAAGCAATTCAGAGATAGCTAAGAGCTACCCAAAAATAGTTTCCACAGCGTAAAATTGCAGCATTAATTATACTAGAGCCGACAAATTAAAATGGAGGCGGCAAAAATACTAATGTACAGAAATATACATATTCAGAGCGTCTCAGTGGGTGTGCTGAAATCTCAGTTAAAGGTTAGCAATTTCTCAGATATCGTTACGGCCCATCAGATCGCAGATCTCAGTTGTTATTTTAAATAGCGCTGTTTTTCAGCCTAAATGGGATCAACTGGCTGTAGTTGTTCGATAATTATTTCTGCTTTTGTTAAGATAAAGCGAGTTTATATTGAATTAATTTTTAATATCTCTGTTTTCCCTGTTTCTTCTTCAGATGCTCGAAAAGTCACTTCTAAAGTTTGCAGAAGAGAATTTTTGCCAAAAATATTGCGCATGCCTCCATGGTGAAACTAAGAGAATAAGACCTTTAGTACTTATTGTTAAACGGCACCGATCCATGTTTAAGCGACCTTTTGGCAAAAATGAATTGATAATCCTTGAGGGGTTAGAGAAATACGTGGAGGGCGAAGGAGAGGAAAAATTTTGTAAGCCGCTCAATAAAATGATTACTGAAGAAGGGCTGGTCATGGAACCGAAACTTTCCCTTGGAAAAAGGTATGAATCTAAGATATAACTTAAATTTTATGAATCATCTTTGAACTCTTCAGGGCTGCTCTTAAGTATCCTTGCACTTTTTGATGCATTGATGCACTGCAGAGAAATATGCGCTACTACCACGGTAACTGTTAACTAACGAGCAATTAAAGTAAAAATAGACGTCAGAAAAGATGGCAGGTTTCTAGGGGAACTTAGGGAAGCTTAGGTATATCGTTGAATAGTGATCTATCAGATTAAGCCCAAGTCTTGTTTTCTTAAACCTAGTTCTCACCAGTTTGGTGTAGATATCTCGGGAGTAATGGAAGTAACAGTCAAGCTGTATGAAGACCTGGGTGACCTTGGGCTCGGCAAATTAAGCCAGAAATACATAACAGATCCAGATATCCGCGG